TCTATTACCTCTCCCACAAGGGGTCACAATTTTATACCCTGCACCTTGAAAAGGAGGGTATATTAACTTTGTAATTCCATTTGTAACAGCACTAAATATTCGTCGCAGACCCCATAAAGTGTATATATTCATAATCAGCATAAAATTCTAAGTCGATTTTACAATGTTCGTCTGCCTGTATGTTGAAATCACGATATAGCCCACATTATTCGACGTAGAGCTTCAAAATTTGGCAGAACAATTTGTATTATGTCTAGGATGGTTGACATTGGAAATGAGGTATGTCGGTTCACATTTTTATACCCTCGACCATATTATGGAGGGTATATTAACTTTGTTATTCCGTTTGTAACTCCTCAAAATACTCATGTCAGACCCAACAAAGTACATATACACGCTATCTATCAAACGAATTGAGATAGAAAACTAAAATTTTGCACACATGTTTATTTTGCCAGTAGGCAAATTAAGTTCGTAAATGGGCAATGTAGATCCACGTTTTCATATAGCCCCCATATAACGATACCTCCCGATATTCGGTATTTTGATGATTTAAGCGACATTGTTCACCGGAATGGTTTCAAATTTGGTATTTGAGGTTCGAAATGGATACTACACCCTAAGACAGAAAAATGACTGTGCAGGTCCACGTCTTCGTGTAGCCCCCATATAACGGTAACTCCCTATATTCGGTATTTTGATGATTTTAGCGACATTATTCACCGGAATTGTTTCAAATTTAATATTTGAAGTTCGAAATGGATACTACACCCTAAGACAGAAAAATGACTGTGCAGGTCCACGTCTTCGTATAGCCCCCATATAACGGTACCTCCCTATATTCGGTATTTTGATGATTTTAGCGACATTATTTAACGGTATTTTTTTCAAATTTAGTATTTTTTCAAATTTAATATTTGAAGTTCGAAATGGATACTACAGGCTAAGACAGAAAATCGTCTGTGCAGGTCCACGTCTTCGTATAGCCCCCATACAACGGTTCCTCTCAATATTCGGTATTTTGATGATTTAAGCATCATTTTTCACCGGAGTAGTTTCAAATTACGTATTTAGAGTTCGTAATGGGAACTACATTATGTGACAGAAAATTGTCTATGCAGGTCCAGGTCTTCGTATAGGCTCTTTATATCAGTACCGCCCTATATTCGGCATTTTGACGATTTTTGGTACAATACTCACCGAAATTGTTTGAGATGTCATCTTTGAAGTTCGTAATTTTTTGAAAATTTCCAAATTCGTTCCAAATGGTGGAGGGTATTCAAAGTTCGGCCCGGCGGAACTTACTACTTCTTAACTTGTTTTCATTGATTTGTCTAAAAATTGGTATTTGTTGGCCATAATGAATTCTAAACCAGGTGGCGAAACATTGTATATATAGATCCACGTTTTGGTGCATCCCCCATATAACTGTACCTCACGATATTCGATATTTTGATGATTTTTGACACATTTCTCCACGGATTTGTCTAAAAATTGGTTTTTGTGGGTCATAATGGGTTCTAGCTCCGGCGGCAGAACAATTCATATTTAGGACCACGTTTTCCTATAGCGTTTGGTCTACGTTTTCTTAGTCATTTACCCACGAAATTGTTTCAAATTTGGTATTTACGAATATAGATGACAATCCTTGAAGTATAAAATTGTCTATAGAGGTTCCCATTTTGGTATAGCCCCCATACAACGGCCTCAACCACCTAATGTTTTTCGAAAAGTTTAACAGCATTGTCCAATCGGTTTTACTGGTATTTGAAGTTTAACGTGGAATACGTTTGAATCCATATACTTGTGTATTAAAATGTTTTCTTTACCCAAAGGTGGAGGGTATTAAAAGTTCCGCCCGGCCGAACTTAATATCTTTTTATTTGTTAGTACGTATATCTCTCATAACTTGTCTAAGATGTGCATATGGAATATTTTTGCTCACTTAAATTTAAAATTTTAAAATTTTGATTAACAAGTATTCGCATAAAATTGTTAATAAATGTTACATTTTCTTTACATTTTAACATTCCAATATTTTAAGTAGTATTAGATGTAGTAGAATACACCGGTAGCTCATGCACGTTTTAACATTTTCTAAAAATTATCATCTATCTCAATTTAAGTGAAGAAAGTAGCGGATATTGTCCGAATCTGTGATTGGAAGGTAATTCTATAAATAAATCATATTGGCTAGACTTACTCTAGTTGGAACACTTTCATCAGAATTTACCCAAAGATATGCCAAAGATCTTCCTCACATTCAATTTCTAGACCAACAGTTTTTCATCGAGGAATACCTAAATCAATAGCTTAAACTGGACTTATGACATTTACACTTTAAATCATAAATATGACACCATAACTATACATATATGCCTGTATTTGTCACTGTAAATTAAACGAGGCTATGCGGTGCAAACCCGATTTAATGCATGCATCAAATTACATTGCAAGTTAATTAAAGAGATTTTGTAAAAATAATTAGAAATTATTCGCGAGAAATAATTAGCAGGTGAATTAATTTTATATTAGAATATTGCTGTAGAAATAAAAAAAATAGGTAGAATTTGAATAAAAACGAAAAAAATTAAATGGAAACACCATGCGAGATCACTTTCATATAAGCAGCCTTATATAGTAAAAAACCAGTAAAGAAAGTCTCAAAGTCGGGCGGGGCCGACTTTATGATACCCTTCACCACTTTACTAATTTAGTATGGGAGAATTCAATCATACGTTTTAATGGGAGAATTCAATCATACACGCTATGATTATATTTATAATTAAAAGTTCAAGGGACTAAATATGCCGAAGCATTTGTATATTTTAAATTCGGACTTGTATTGCCCATTTGGTGCACAATTAATTTGAAATCGGATAAATATATATATATGGGAGCTATATCCAAATCGGAACCGATCTCGATAAAATTTAGTAAATATATTTCGGAGCTGTATTTGATGCATTTCCCTGAATATCGTTGTTAAGGAGTGTATATTACGGCTGTGGGTAACAAATATAGCAAATCGGATGAACAGTATATATGAGAGCTATAGCTATATCTGAACCGGTCGTAAGTGCCAAATTCCATCCCATTTCGGCAAATATTAGACTTTGAAAAGACAAATATTAGACAGAAATACATTTGCTAAATTTTATCGAGATCGGTTCAGATTTGGATATAGCTCCCATATATAACTTCGTCCGATTTACCTTTGATTGTGCACCAAACGTCTAATATTTGCCCAAATTGGATGATGATTGAGTCTGGTATGGCAAATTTGGCGAAGATCGGTTTATATACAGCTATAGCTCCCATATATACTGTTCATCCGATTTGTCATATTTGTTACCCACAGCCGTAATATGAACTCCGTAACAACGATAATCAGGGAAATATATCAAATACAGCTCAGAAATATCTTTGCCAAATTTTATCGAGATCGGTTCCAATTTGGATATAGCTCCCATTTACATTTTTATCCGATTTCAAATTAATAGTGCACCAAATGGGCAATACAAGTCCGAATTTAAAAGATACAAATGCCTCGGCATATTTAGTCCTTTGAACTTTAAATTATAGTTATAATCCTAGCGTGTATGATTAAATTCTCCTATAAAATATTTTAATTGTTATGCGCATCTCAACTAAATTAGCAAAGTGGTATAGGGTATCATAAAGTCGGCGCCGCCCGACTTTAAGACTTTCTTTACTGTTTTTTTTTTTTTGGAAATGCTAACAGGGTCCGGGAAAATACACATCCGTAAATACATAGGCGAATCTGTTTGGAAATATTGCCCGAAAAATGTAATGGAAATTTTAACGAAATTGCTATTTATAAGGTAAACTGGTAAACTGGTGGGATGGTTTGGGAATGATACTGCAAGGCAAGGCAATTCAGGCCAGCCAGGTTGCCATGAGAACTGCACCAAGGTGCCCTTTGGGGACAGCAGTAGACCATTTAAATGAATTGATGTTGCCTTGTCCTTTACGTCAGAATTGCCCGCATCTTTTTGCTGAGTCGATCATATCCAGAAAAATCGCATATGAACCATTAATAGGAAATGGGAGAAGGTCGATATTGAATACTATATGTTTCGCGGGGATTGGGAGAGGACAGAACTATCACTCTTCTTTTTTTCCAATGTCCCCAACTCTCAAATCTGAGGCACAATCTGGTGAGGTCATTTGGAATTGCAAATTCTTTCCAGTGTGAATGGAACGTCCCTAGTCAGTTTCTTAAAAGTCCCCAAGTAACTAACTCTGTTCGTCGTTAAAATAAACAAGTAGTCTCTGCTAACATTTCATTTTCTATATTTTCTCATGTACGCGGAAGAAATGTATGCACCGTTTTACTTTTGTTACTACACTGTTTTTATTCATTTAAAGTAATTCTTAAGTTCTACTTATGATAATTTTTCTTAACCTAGTCTAGCATAAAGTGTAAGAGAGAGAGAGAGAGAGAGAGAGTAATAGAGAGATACAAATCTATTCATGCCTGTGCACCATGCCGCCATAAATTCTAGGGGAGGTCATAAAACATGCGTAGCAATCTCACTTGTGGCAAGCAAACATGCTGCACTTCCTTATCAGTATGAGTTAAGATTTCATCCAGTAATCTAACTCAAACATACCACATGCAGCAATTGAATTATTTATTTCTAACTCAAAGGTCTGTTCACCACATTTTCTTATCTTATATAATATGGACTGTATTAAAAAGATCCCTGTTTAACAAATCCCTCTCATCTACACTAGTTAGCCCCGCTATTCTCTTTTATTATAAAAACATGTTCACTTATCCGTGAACATCTCATATAATGGGTTTATCCAGTAATCAGTTACAACTTTAAAACCTGATCCCTTAATAAGATAGAAGTAATACAATTTTATACGATCAATTCTTTGTTTACTATTTACGGTTGGTGTAAATTTGAGTTGAAAGTATTTACTTTACAGAAAGTATATTTCAATACTAAGGTGTGGTGTGCGCCTTTAAAAGGGGTAACCCTGAAAATAATTGATAGCTAGAAGAAGAAGAAGAAGAAAAATGTTGCCAACCATTACTAGGAGACAGCTGATTATTCCAATTACTTAAATGTCAATATTAGGGAATAATATAAAAAGAAAATGGAAAAATTAAGCGAGGAAAATGGCAGCCAGAATTTCCTGGCAAAAATTGTAAGAAAAATCTTTCCTTTTTGATTTTGCCTGCGAAGAAGATTGGATGTGTGGCTCCCTGTAACCAGCGAAGAAAAAAGCCGACAAAGTTTTTGGTGATGAACCACTTGTTAAGAAGTGAATTCAATGTTTTTATTTGTTTGAAACATATATACAAACAACACGAAATACAAACTTTTTTTTACAAAATTGGAAGCCTTAAAATAATTTAACAACATTTAACAACAAAAGGCTAAAAGTTGAAAGAAAACTTATAACAAAACAAATAGTTTTTCACAAAAATTGAAAATTAAAAGAAAAATTGAACTTTTTTTTAAATTAAACCAAATTTGGAAACAATTTAACAAAATTGAAAAGAAAAACCAAAACAATTAACTGAAAATCTAAACCAAGAAAATAAATCTTAAACCTAAAAATTCCTGAAGAATTGGAGCCTACAAGCCACACCATCGCCCATCCAATCCATCGAGGGAGCCGCTGATTTTGCGCCATTGCTAACCCAGCGTGGCTTGGTATTCCCAATCGACATTTAATACACGAAACCTCGGACAGACAGACGGACGACGAAGCATCATAATTAAATTCCGCGGTTTTTTTCTGTAAAAAAAAAAAAGAAACAATATGAATTAGAAGGGGAAACAAATGAAGTCTATTTTAAATTTATCACCTTTTGGTTAGTCTGCAGGTACACGACGTTGAACAGAGCTCTATTCAAAGTTAGATAACCAGGCTTTTAATCCGTTCGTCGATTTTAAGTGCTATCGACACTCCACCTTTGTTTGCCTTTCCTGAAATTGAATGAAAGAAATATAATTAATAAAAAAAAAATTAACGTGGAATATAATTAAAAAAGCTAAACTTTAACAATACTTACGTACATACTTGTTGGGAAGAACCACAATTGCAAGCTGCCTTTATTGCACCCTAATTTTTGTCATCAGAAAGCGCAGTCTAAAAGAAGAAAAAGGAGAATTTTTTTGTAATTTTTGGCAAAATTGTTTTAATTCATTGAATTGAATTCATTGTTAAATTTGAACGCAAACATTAAAGTTAGCATGTAATTTTTTTACGAATTGTTATTTGGGTATTTAAATAGTTTAAATAAAATGTACCAATTTTATATAGAAAAGACAAATATGTCCTTGGCTTAAAGCCCTTTTTAAAAGGTGGTGGTAATGGTATAAAATGCGGTAAGTCAAGGGTCAGATCTGGGACGTCCAGTATGAGTAGACGTCATGGCGAGAGGTGTTCTCGGAGGGAGGGCTATCTCCTGGCTGGTCAGCCGCCAGGAGCACTGTTTCTGTGAAAAAAAAACTAATGTTATTTTGGGATTTGGTTGTAGTTAGGTGAACGTTTTCTTTTTAATTTTTTGTTGACATGTTTCAGGCTTCCTTTTACCCCCTTTTTGATTTAGTTTGAAGTCCGGTATGATTTTATTTGTTTGTTCAACCGAAAAGATCTGCAAGTGGCAAGAACCAACCCCCAATCCGACGAGCCATAGCCGCGCTAAACGCCAGCATACCGGCAACGCCACTTAATGGTCAACACAGCGATTTTATTTCGTTTTCCTAGAACACGGTTGTTACAAAGGTAATAATATATGTGGTTGAGTCTAATTAAAATTTCTAGTTTAATTCATCTTCGTTTGACCTTAAGTCCAACCTTGACTAGCGCACAGTTATTGCAATTATGGACGGGGTTTTAATCCAAAAAAAAGCTTTTTTATGTGTCAATTTTCTTTGTACGAGTAAATTCAATTTCACCATTACTATAAAATCTTTTACATGTCAACTTCTTTGTGTGTCAAAAAAAATAACCATTTAAATATCCATTAACAACATTCGTTCAATATTTAAATGCATTGCAATAAAATGAAAGAATCCGATTCACACCCAAAGGCCGGATTGTCAAGATGTTGAAATGCTTTATAACGAATTATACGTCCATTAGGCTTGCGAACTCATTATCGCCATTTCCAGGACTTTGCAATTATTGCAATATAATTTCGAACTGTGATTCCTCCTCCTCCTGCAAAGTGGCGCAAAGGGCTATTGAGAAGAGCACTGTTCGTGCTGTTCGTCAATTGCTTTTTTCACAATTTAACTCCTAATTAAATAAGTAATTAATGGTGCTTCTCTCAGTTCCTTTTAAGGGCCAGTGTATATGTGGTGGTATTTTTTAAACGTACGAATAAAGAGATGTTGCTAGCAATAAAAATACATTTACAATAGGACTACATAAAATGGTAGGGCAAGTGGAAAAAGGTAGTGGGAGTTAATTCCAACATGAGTGCTAGGTTACATTTCCTGACATGAAATTTTTTGTTCGATATGGGGTGTGCAGCTTCTTTGCTAATACGATCTTCGATTAACATAATATTGTCAATATATAATATATGTTATATGGATACCAAAAATTAAAGTAGAGACCAATATTTCCAAAGAAAAGTCGATAAAAATAGTGAAACATGTTTTCGTTTTTTGCAGACTTGAAACAAATATTTTCTTTATTTTTATTAACAAAAGAGTAAAGTAATTGACTTACTTAACGATTTATCAACGCTCAGACGATATGGCTGAGTAAAGGTGTCAGATAGAGATGGATTTTTAAAAATTTATACTAGAACTTTTTAATGCTAATTATGGTACCCTTTGTATTTGACGAACCAGTAGAGTTAGAACTCTAAAATTTGAGGGTCACTGACATATCTATATATATAAAAGAAACCGAAAAAGCCTAATGGGGCGCATTTCAAAGCGTTGACCTACTTCTTTCATGTGACAATAATCCGTCCAATGAGAGCTCAAGAGGCAAAATTCTTTGGGAGTACAATCAGTAAAATACCAAACATAAAGAGTGGAAAATAGTAAAGCGTATGGGACTCTTAGTAAGAAAAGGATTTCTATCCTTCCAGAAATTCTTCCCAAACATTCAAGATACCTTAAATCACTTTTGTAGGTCTTAATATCGATCATAACTCACGAATTTTATATTTATATAACCATCGTATGATTTAAGCTATTTTTTGGGTCATATTTTGGCCCTTATTTGGTATCTTTGTTTCTAAGGGGGTAGATAACCTCTTCGCATAAAATTTTCAGAGTAGGGCCCATTTTGGTTTTTACCACATTCATCAATTTGGCTAAAAATTGTATTTATGCTACCCTGGGTTAGGGACCATCATACAGATAATGGCCACATAGGAATTTATTTAAGTAAAATCCCCACATTGGAGTATCCCCAAGTCCACTCTCACATCTAATGTGTGGTCAGAAAAGAAAATTTTGTATTTTGGTATAACCTCATATGAAGTTATTCCTGATTTCAGCTATGACCGTGGTCATGACGTTTTTCAACTGATTTGACCTTTATTTGGCATCTTGGCTTTTCTATTTCGAGGGTCTTGGCCGCATTTTCCAATCGATTTTGCTGTATTTAGGCTACTTTGTGAGTAGAGAACCATCTTACAGAAAATGTCAACACAGGTAAATATTTTGGTACAGTCCCCATATAGTCCCCAGGGCCGCCGATCTATAGTGATTTAACAACACGGGCATTGTTTAATCGTCATTGAATTTTACTATGAACAAGAACATAGACTTTTTTGGGGACTCTAATGCGCAATTTGAGGAGCTATGGTAATAGGTGTAAAAGCTTAATTAACTTTGACTAATCAGAAATTATTTTACCCTCCATCCATAGGTATTTATTTCTATTTAGTCAGATCAATATTTATATTAAAATTTGTTCACCATTATGAGCCAGATTTGTGAAATAGTATTCTATACAAAATTTGCATTAAAGACTAAAACTACGGGACTGCAACGCGGACCGGGCCAGCTAGTTTATGATAAATGTACCAAATAATGTTGTCCGTTTTTTGGGGAATTCGCTTTATAAGTGTACGAAAAGAAAAAAAAATATAATACATTTTGTACCATTTCGTATCATGTGAACGGTTAAACGGCTTAAAACTTGAAATTTCGAATGGGAATAAAAATTGAGTAGTAACTTCGATGTGAGGAGGCAGTTTTGGAAGTGTGGGCTTTTGTATACAAGAAGTATTAAAGTACAATTTGAATTTGGTGGAACGGATGTAACTGGAATCCTGTGGGAGTGTATGTTTGGGATATAACCGTTGTTTTCGAAATTTGTACTTATGTACACGAAAAGTACTAAATGGTACTAAATTGGGTACAATTTCGCACCGATAGAGCTGGAATGCTGAAATTTGGATATAAGATTATTATTGCATTGTCGAACTGAGGTAATTTTGGAAATTTGTACTTATGTGTATTACATGGTACTAAATTTGTTACAATTTGAATTTTGAGAGACTCGCTAGAGCTTTAATCCTGAAATTTGGAAATAAGATTTCTATTGTATTGTATGGTGTAAGTAGTTGTGGAAGTTTGTACATATGCGTACTAAATGGTACTAAATTTCGTACGCCTTTAATTTGGATGAACCAATAGAGCTGATATCCTGAACTGTGGCAATAAGATTACTTTCGGAATTTAGAATTAAAATATGGAGGTAATTTTGGAAATTTGAGTTTATATGTACTTAATTTGGTACAATTTGCATTTGGGTGAACCGATAGAGCTGAAATTTGAAATAAGATTTTTATGGGATTGTATGATTGAGGTATGGGGGAATTTTTAGAAATTTGAAGTGTAGGATTGGGGTATGTAGGATGTCACGAAATTTCACACTTATGTGTACTAAATTTGGCACAGCTTGGAAATAAGATCTCTATGGGATTGTATGAGGTATGGAGGTAGGCTTTGAAATTTGGAGTGTAAGATTGGGGTATGTAGGAGGCTTTGGAATTTCGTACTTATGTGTCCTAAATTTGGTACAATTCGGATTCATGTGAACCGATTGGTCTGTGATTAAGATATGGAGGTGACTTTGGAAATGTGTACTATACAGGGGAGATGAAAAAACTGCAACCAACTTCAGACTGCTGTCATTTCTAAGCCATTCGTCCGACAGCTGTTACAGTTATTCCAGTGACAGCTCATTATATTGTTTACAAGCGTACAAAAGCATTTTGGTGAGAATTTTCTAGAAAAAAAGTTATTCGTAATAGAATTCAAGCGTGATTTCTTTATATTTGGGTGCAAAACCACAACTGGCTATCATTAGAGCACTCCAACATTTAAATGTGAATAAATTTTTGCTTCGCTTGGCCGAAAGTGGTGAACTGCCGAATTTGGTTTTCTCCGATGAGAAAACATTCGTTGGATTATTGTGTCTGGAGTATTTTGGAAAGCGATTTTGGTACTTAAAAATTCCAAAGTGTCGATCACATGATGCAAGCGCTTCGCCGGGAATGGGCCAAAATACCGCAGAGCAACACTGGGGCAGCGTGTGACGATTTCATTCATTTCAAACTTATTCTAAAATTTGATGCTATTTCCGATATTTTTTGCTTACATTCAATAAAATTTAAAAAAAAAATGTAACAATTATTGCGTTTGACTTTGTTGCATATCTTATATCTCACCCTGTAATTGTTGGAAAAGAACTAAACGGAAAATTTGGTATTAGGTGAAGGGATAAAGCTGAAATCTCGAAATTTGATATTGAGGTCTCTCTTGGTATCTGGTGTTGATTTTACAAATTCGGTGGTGGTGGTGGTTTTACAAATTTGTATGATAATTTTTCGCAGAGTACTAAATTATACTAAATTATAATAGTTTTGGACAATATTCTCGTCGGTAGACTTCTAAATGAAATAATTGAAGACTTTTTGGCGTGAAAGGTGTTTATTCTCTTATCGTTCCTTCCAAAAAAGGATAAACTTTAATGAATCATAAAAAATTTAAAGACTGAAAACTTATTTTATTTAGGAAGTTTTGATACTTTTTTTGTCAAACTGAACAAATTGTTAAAGAATTTAAAATTTTAAAGTGGACTTTTCGTTGACGAATAGATTTTTTTCTTTGGTGACTTATAGATAAATTCGACAATTTTATAACAAATAGTTCTATCGAATATTTGGAAATTATCTAAACGATCTCTTTGGTGGCTAAGTTAAGGGTTAGAATTTTTGATCAAGATAATCCGTGTATTTTCCTTAGTAACTCACTGGCCTCACTCACTGGCTGGTCCACAGTTTTAGTGTTAAATTGTATTTGTAGCCTGATAACCTTTTTTTAGAAAAAGCTTAAACTAGACTAAAAATGTGGGCTTGAAACTGCAGTCAATTGAACAAGTAGCTGTTTTCTTGTGTTGCAGGTTATTGCTGTAGTAACTCCAAATCATTTCACTAAGGGACAAAAACAAAAACAAAACTCAATTATTATAGTATAGAAGGTTTAGAAACATTTTCTAGTTCAATGGACTGTTATATGATTTCGTTGTTTTGTCCCCGTTAAAATCACGATTGTGGGGGAGATACTAGGAAGAGTGGGCCGATACTGTCAATTTTGGAGCAAACCTAATTGATTACAAATATTAGTATATTCAAAGTTTGATAAAACCAGTGGACCTTCTATGAGATAAATAACTTTCTTTGAAAATGTTGATCTTTTGTGATGTGTTACCTGAAGAAGTGGGTCGATATTG